TTTTTCTCAAGTGGACTGTCAGTTTTTCAGACCCCCAGACAGAGGGGAGGTTTGGAGCATGGGAAGGAAAGGCTGTGAAATTTGGCATCCCTTCCATAATACTTGGAAGGTGGGGGGACCCTTCGAAGAGTCAAGGTGGATCATAAAAATGAGAGGAGGCCACCAGAGTACTTTAGAGCCCTGGAGGGCAAAGCTGAGTTCCTGAAGATTGGGAAGTGGACGCTGGGAAATGTAGGAAATGTAAATCCCGTCTATGTTTGGCATCCCTTGTGTCGGGGGTTCCCGGGATAGGTGAGGGTGGCTCAGGGGCTTTAGCTGATGTGAGGCGGGAAAGCTGTCTGGAGCTCCTGGAGCACAGGAAGGAGAGGCTGTGTAATTTAGCATTCCCTTTATATTTTGGATCCCTGGTGTGCAAGGTCACCGTGGTTGGTAAGGGCTGTTCTGCAACTTTCCTTGATGTGGGTGAAGGTCATGAGAGTATTTTACATGGTGCTCAATGTAAGGGAAGCTGATATAAATATGGCATTCTTGGACCCAGGGTCCCATGTGTACTTGTACGGGAGTTATGTCATTCTGGGCTGGCCAAACAAGATGGCCATAGTTGCCCAACCCAGAAAAAGACTGGGTTAAGATGGAAGAGCTGGTGACGAGGGAGCGTCCAGACGTCACATTGCTGGATTGGAGCTAAGTGCTACTGAAAAAGAAACAGCAGGCTGTGCAATCCTTTTTGAATAGAAAACTTAAACAAGAGCTCCGGGCAAAACTTTTATTAACCCTTGCAGTGGGGCTACTCCCACACTGCAAGGGATAACTGCTTGTTTTTGTCTGGACGCCACAGAAAAAAAGTTATACTTACCAGATGCTCCAAGCCTGCTTGCTCTTAGACTGGTCCCTGGAGCCTCTCTCTCCCCCTCCTCCACCTCAATCTAAGGTCCTCCAATCATCATAGGAGGAGAGAGGCTTCAGAGATCGGAGAAGTAAAGAGCCGGCTCATCTGTTTGAGTGAGTATAACTTTTTTGTTATACCCTAGAAAAGCAGTTAAAGGAGAACTATGAGGTGATTTTCACTCATCCTCATAGTTAGAGCCGACGCGTGACAATGAAACTGTCACACGTCGGCTCTATTGATCGGGAAGTGAGCGAACACATACCGTCACTTTCTCATCATTTCCCTGCAGAGAGCGGTGACTCAGTCACCGCTCTCCGCAGGGATTCCCCCCTCTCCCATCCTCTAGCGCTGACTGGAGGAACGGACGGGGAGGGGGCGGGCACAGCTAGATAAATAGAGCCCACTGTCAATCAGCTAGCTGGGTGGATCTCAACAGTATTGTCGGGATCCGTCCCGGCTGCGGTGGTCTCAGTTTATAGCGACCTATAGCTTTGGGTCACGGGAGGAGGTTAGTATATGTCCTCCCGTGACCCTTAAGAAAACCGGGGGATAAAAATTTTACCCCATAGTTCTCTTTTAACCCTTGCAGTTCTTCTTTAACTGCCTCCGGGCCGGCCATAGTAAAAAAACGGCCGGCCGGGAGCTCTCTAGATCTGAGCAGGCGTCTTTAGGCGTCCACTCAGACACGCCCCCTCGCGTGCACCGCTCGGTAAATGGCCACGATGCCTGTTACCATACAAGCGATCGCGTGTATGGGGTGCCGATCGGTCCGTCCGTCCCCCTCCGCTCTCCCGCTGATCCCGTGCTCCGCTGTGCCCAGGATCAGCATGTCGCCTGTGTCACAGGGGATCAGAGGGAGATCGTTACACGAGCTCCCTCCGGTCCCCTCTCCTCTGAAAGAATGCGGAAGTGTTGTATAATACACCACTTCCGCATTCTTGTGTCATTCTCCAGCTTCAGAAGCTGGAAAGAAGCTGATGGAGCAGATCTGTGCTTCATCAGCTTCTTTTGGGGGGTCCTAGGTGACATTAGGGGTCTTGGAGACCCCTGATGTCTCCATAAAGTGGACCTGTCACATATTTTGCTATCACATAGGGGAGTTTAATTAGCCCCCGTATGTGATAGGAATAAAGTTTAGTGAAAAAAAAAAATGTAAGTTCCCCACCCAATTTTTTTTTAAAGTTACACATAAAAAAAAACAACAATTTTTTAAAGTTCCCACCAATGCATACACGCATGCAAACATGCATCGGGGCGCATACGTGCAAAATAGACGATTGCGCCCATTACGCCGCACATGTTACATATCGCCACGAACATCGGAGTAAGAGCAATAATTCTAGGGCCATCAATCACTGATAACACTAAACTGATGAGTGGTAAAAGCTTTTAAAGTGTCGTCTATGGCCAATTTTGGGTATGGTAGTTTTCTGCGATTTCGCGGGTGCGCGCAATTTTAAAGCTTGACATGTTTGGTGTCTATTTACCCGACGTGACCCAATCTTTTATATTTTACCAAAAAACTGGGTAATAATAAATGTTTCCTAACATAATGTAAAAAAAAACTTTTGTTTTCAAAATTTTCTGTAATTTTTCCTAATTATAGTAAAAAATAACAACCCCAGTGGTGTTTAAATACCACCAAAAGAAAGCTCTATCTGTCCCCAAAAAATGGTATAAAATTAATTTCAGTACAGTGTTGCATGACGGAATAAACGTTAGTCAAAGTACTTCAGCGCTGAACACTGAAAAATGGCCTGGCCAGGAAGTGGGTCTAAACACCTGGTCTTGAAGTGGTTAAAGGTGATACTTGCTGCTGCAAAGAAAAAAGCAGAGTTTGAAATAATAATTTCTCTTAAATAACCTAAAATGCTTGCGATAGGAAGAGAAATAACAGGCACTGTTATTTTTTTTCTTGTTATATTTATGAACTGAAATTGAAGGGTAAACATGTCTTCCACGCACATCACAATCACATACACTGCTATTTTGTGATAGTACCGTTATCGTGTGACGTCAGCGGGGGCTTGCCTAAAGCTGGTCCCTGTCAGCTGACCAGTCTATTAGCTTGTTGTACGCAGTGCGCACGTAGAGTGGCGGGGACGCGCGCGTGAGCGTGCACGCGAGCAATAGGTGCAGGCGTGCTATTAATGCTACGCCGGAAATACACTGGTGTCCTGCTATTAGTCTCTTGTAAAGGACTGACAACTGAAAAGAACGGAGCATTCCTTGTAGTGCGGACTGAAGAGTGCTCCGTAAGTCCCAGTTTAACCAAGCTTATGTATTAGAAAGTTTGTGGTTTCTGACATATTGGACTAGAATCCATACTGTACACGGCAGTCCAGCTTATGCAAGGCATGCTGGGAGTTGTAGTAAAAAGTGCAGCAGTATCACATGTAATGGTCATGGAGCATACCTTATGTGTTCTGCAATTCCATGAAGAATTAGTGTTTCATCTTTTGGTTACTGAGTACGTCTAAGGCTTAGTCCACCCGTTGGGGCAAAACAATATTAAATGCCCAGACATGAAAAAATGTGCATTGTTTTAATGCATTTTAGCCTGCAATGGATTGCAGCTGTGATCAATAGATTGTGGGGTAAATGCCTTGGCTCCTGCAGACTTTCTCTAGCCCCAGGGCCGTACCTTGGACCTAAGGTATGGGGCTGGCTGAAGTAATCAATGGACTACAAGTGGGGTGACATCACTGCACTCATGCTCCATTGAGTTCGGAGTCCCTCTGCTGCATTGGCAGATGGGTTTTGTATTCTTCAGTTCTGTTCCTGTGTTCACACATCTCCCAAACTGTAGGGGAAATAGCTTCCATTATATCTACGAGGCTCTGTAACATTGGGATGTCACAGCTCTGTGTGTTTTTGTTAAATCCTGTTTGCTGCATCTCTTTTGTATGTTATATTATAGTCATTGGTAATGCAAAAAGGCTTGGCCTCCCTCAGCCTGTGACTGGACAGTGATGAGCAACAGCAGTTCAATCTGCTCTCCTTTTAAACTGTGTTTTGGTCTCCACATGTGTATGCAGCACACATGATTGGCTTCTAGTTCTGCCCCTCCCTTTCCCAGTTTGGGTGCTGCAGTACAGGAGATTGCACATACCAAGTCAAATTCCGGTACTTACTACTACTGCAATTAAGATGACATTCCATTCCATTACATTTTAATTAGAGGTGCACCGAAATAGAAAAAAATGTCAGGCCGAAACCGATACCAAAAATGTTTTTATTTTATTTTTTTTTAAATATTTTATTTTTATTTATTTTTTATAAACTTTCACATTTTTTAAATATTTATTTTAATTTTTTTAATTAAATTAATTTTTTTACTTTTAGGGGCTTCGGGGAAATATTAGGGGTCTAAACAGACCCCTGATATTTCCCTTTTTAAAATAGAAAAAGAGATTGAGAACACAGAGTCCTCAAACTCTTTTTCTGTATCCCCTGTTATCAATGAACAGAAATCCTCTGAGTGTTCCTGTTCATTGATAACTTGAGAATATAGTATGTTTACTATAACCACAACTATGAATGGACAGGAGTGGATATAGATCACTCCCATTCATTCATAATTGAGGATATATTACCCATACCATATCCTCAATTATCTACAAACACTCAGCGATCACTGATCACTGAGTGTTTGTAGCCTGCGCTCCTCTCTGACACACACTGTCACAGGATGCTGAGTGAGCGGTGCGAGAGGGATTGCCCAACCTCCTGTGACAGCGCTGTCTCCGCCCCTACACCGCTCTACCGCACTGTGATAGGCGGCCGAGCGATGTGGGAGGAGAGACAACGGCCGCTCACAGCGATCCTGTCATTTAGCCAGAAGTGCCATTTTCGGCCGATATATCGGTGCATCCCTAATTTTAATGAATATATCTGCCTGGAGTTCAACTTCAAACTTGTGGAAAGAATCATAAAGCAACACCTAATGGTTGAATGTAAGACTACATAATAATATGCTAAATTTCCTATTTACTTACATAACTTGTTTTTGTTGCTTTTTTTTTTTTCTTCTAGTCCATAAATAAGAAAGGTTCTGCAAAATCACTATTCATTCTCTTAAAAGTGGATTTCTTTTTGTCTTTAGACTTGTAAAGAAGAACTGCTGCTAAACTGTCTTTTGCTTTTACATGGCTGAAGGATCTCGAGAATTTCCTTCTGTTGTTGACCGTTATTTTACACGATGGTACAAAGCAGGTAAGGTTCAAAAGATGATCTTGAAATAAGATTGTTTCCTGCTTCTGATGTTTCCTTAAAGAGAACACCACCCTTATCTTCAAAATAACAAAGGCACCTTTAGAAATGTTTAGTAATGACAATCTACAAACAGATACTTCTATATAATTGCAGACTTCATTTTTTTTGCATACCGTATTTTTCTTTTCTTCCTTGGTCTTCTGACAGTGGCCATATTAGCTAAGGGCAGGTTACTAGCCCTCCTTTTTATTTCCTGGAACTCTGGCAGATGTGACTAGGACATGTTACCATGCACATCATCTCAGTGGAGGAAAATGCCTTTTTATGAAATCTTATGAGATTACAGATGCGATTTCCCTGCAATGCACTGTTGATGTAACATTCCCAGGATGCAATGCTTGGGCACAGTACATAATTTGTGCCAAATTGGACCAGGAAGTGGGGAAAAAAATATTGTAAAATAAAGATATGTTTGTTTAGCTAATGTAAGATGGTTTGATATTTGCATGCAGAGCTGTATGGTGATATGATTTTTAGTCAAAGGGGGTAAAGGTCCACTTTAAAAGTAAACCATTCCTTTCCTCTTGATTTCCCATCTAACAGTAGCTGTACACAGAGAAAACTCTATTGAGTTCACAAATAACAAATATTTGTAAATTTGAAATGGCCCCTTTTTTGCAAAATGGTAAAAAAACAAAGGAACAATTTAGGCGCAAATGGAATGTTTTTATTCTCTTGTCTAGTAAGCAATAAGAGACTGTGTGAAAGGCACCAGGGTCCACACCAAATGGTTACATCACTGCTGCAAAGTATATATAGTTTAAGCTTAGTTCAGTATTTAATGGACCAATAATCAGCAAGCTTACTTAGGGCATTAGGGATACATTTGTAGTATTTAAAGGAGAACTATGAGGTGAGTGCTTTTCACTCACCTCATAGTTCTAGCCGACCTGTGACAATGAGACTGTCACAGGTCGGCTCACTTTAACAAGAGGATTTGCATTTGATGGCCTTAGCCAATAGAAAAAAAAAGGACATCTGAGGAAGGAAGGATGATGTAATTTGAATATGGTAAGAACTTACTTTCAAAAGTCTTAATTTCCACTATGTGTACTTTTGAGTTATGCTAAAAAGCTATGATATTAGAAAGGAAGCAATAAAGTGCTTACAACAGCCACTGTGCACAGGTATTGTTAGATGGGATAGCAAAAGCAATGGCATGGTTTACTTTACATTATATTCTTAAACAATGTGGTAACACTGGGACAGGGCATTTACACTTCGAATGAAAATGTATTGTTAAATAGACCATTGTTTCTCAAACTATGGTCTATGGACATCTGGAAGTCCTGTTGCATGTCTTAGTTGGTTTCTAACCACCTTCTTATACCTTGCAAATGACATCACCTTATTGACAAAAATTCAGAGACCTGAAGTGGAAGAGTAAGTACAAAGCCCGATATACACATCTAAAGTTTTGTTCAGCTCCATAGGCAACAAGCAGGGTTATTCGCAAAACGGGGAAGAGTTTGGAGAAGTGAACAATCTAGGACAACATAGCTGAACTGGAAAGTGAGCTGAATTGGAGAATTTTTCCAAATCAGCTATGTTGCCCTAGATAGTTCACTTCTCCTGCCTTCCCCATATTCTTCACTCTTTTGTGAATAACCCTGATGGTGTCTGTTCAGTAAGAGAGGTGAAGAAAGATTGCACAACATAATTATGTGTAACTGCATTTAAAGTGATCATGTTGATCTGTTTAAAAAATTTGAGCCCAAAGCACTGTCATAGAAAACGTTGTCCAATAGGTGGCAAGTAGGCCTTTGATTTGTTCTACATATACAAATGCTGCTGCTATCTGACACTTTGTCTGCTGGGCAATGTGGTTCCACCTGCCAGCTGATATCACTTCTGTGCCCTGCAGTGACTTAGTAGCCAGTGGGAGAAACCACAGTGCCCAGTGGGGTACATATCTGAAAGACCGACAGTAGTAGCACTTGTAGAGGTGGAACCGAAGAAAGACTGACTTGCCACCCAGTGGACAAAGAGGTTTTTAGCTTTTTCTTTGACAGGGTTCTTTGGATTTACAGTTTTTACTAGTGAATATCACTTTAAATTATTTTCACCACCTATTTTCGCATAAGTGGTCCATGGACTGTACAACTTTCAGAATTTGGGTCACCAATTGTGTTTTATAGTCTTCTAGTAAGCTAGCTTATGGTAGCCTATGTCTATTTATAGGTTAAAAATGTAAACTCCACAACAAATTGTTAATAACATCTAATATGGTTTCTCTGCATCGATACTAATATGGGTAAGTCCACCCAAACCCTAATTACACAGTTGGGGCACAGAAGCATTCATGCAGCAGGCCTTTGGGGTTGTGGCAGATCGTGCTTCATACAAGCATGTAGAAAATTGGCCTGTCCAATAAATGCTACTAATTTTCAAATGCAGTAACCTATAGCAAGCAATCAAAATTTACTCTGCTGAGGTCAGACTGTGCCAAAATGAATTTTGAATCGTGCCTGTGAGATACTGCACTTAAGACATTCTTTAGAAAACTAGAATGAATGCAAGGCTGCTCTTATAAATTGTTACGAAAAATCATTCAACCTCAATCAAAAGAAAATGTTATATGGTGTTGCGTTCTTGCTTTTAGGAAAAGCTGTCTGGTACTGCAGCCAAAAAAAGAAGCTTTCAGTAAAGATATAGAGGGGAATTTATCAAAACTGGAGCAGCTTCTATGTTTCATTTTCAAATCTTAACTGAACAAACTAAAGAGAGAGGCTGATTGGTTGCCATGGGCAACTGCTCCAGATTTGGTCTGCTCCCGTTTTGATAAATTCCCCTCATAGTATTTTAATTGGCCTGTCCATATGCATCTTGAGGTTAGGATTCTTCCATATGATTATATGAAGATAATGAAGATAAAATGGTAGAGGTGCCCTGAAATGTAAATAACGAAACCGAAATAAAAAAAATTGTCAGGCTGAAACCGAAAATTTTGTAACTTTGTTTATTTTATTTTCTAGAAACTTTTACATTTTTTTTATATTTATGAATTCATTTTTTATTAAATATTTTTTACTTTACTTTTAAGGGCTTTGGGGAAATATTGGGGGTCTAAACAGACTCCTGATATTTCCGTTTTAAAATAGAAAAAGTGATTGAGCTCTGCTTTTAAACTGTGTTTTGGTCTCCATGTGTATGCAGCACACATGATTGGCTTCTAGTTCTGCCCCTCCCTTTCCCAGTTTGGGTGCTGCAGTACAGGAGATTGCACATACCAAGTCAAATTCCGGTACTTACTACTACTGCAATTAAGATGACATTCCATTACATTACATTTTAATTAGAGGTGCACCGAAATAGAAAAAAATGTCAGGCCGAAACCAAAAATGTTTTTATTTTAATTTTTTTTACAGTATTTTATTTTTATTTATTTTTTATAAACTTTCACATTTTTTAAATTTATTTTTATTAATTTTTTTATTAAATTAATTTTTTTACTTTTAGGGGCTTTGGGGAAATATTAGGGGTCTGATATTTCCCTTTTTAAAATAGAAAAAGAGATTGAGAACACAGTCCTCAAACTCTTTTTCTGTATCCCCTGTTATCAATGAACAGGAATCCTCTGAGTGTTCCTGTTCATTGATAACTTGAGAATATAGTATGTTTACTATAACCACAATCATGAATGAACAGGAGGTGATGTAGATCACTTCCCATTCATTCATAATTGAGGACAAAGTTAACATACAGGTGAAACTCGAATAATTAGAATATCGTGCAAAAGTAATTGCAGTAAGTGCTGCAAAAGGGGCCCAAACCAAGTACTGAGTACATATGCATGCTTGTACTTTTCAGAGGTCCGATATTGTTCTATGTACAATCCTTGTTTTATTGATTGCATGTAATAATCTACTTTTTTTGAGGTTGTGGATTTGGGGTTCTTGGGGTTTTCATGAGCTGTAAGCCATAATCATCACAATTATGACAAATCACGGCTTGAATTATCTTGCTTTGCATGTAATCAGTATCTCATATATTAGTTTCACCTTTTAAGTTGCATTAGTGAAATAAATGAACTTTGCACGATATTCTAATTATTCGAGTTTCACCTGTATAATGTCCTCCAATTACCTACAAACATTTAGCGATCACTGAGTGTTTGTACCGCTCTCCTCTCTGACAGCTGTTACAGGATGCTGAGCGAGCGGTGCAGGATGGAGAGCTCAGCCTCGCCCCCACACTCACGCACTGCCGATCAGATTACCAGAAACATGGGGATAACTTAGAGGCTCTATAACTCATCCAGTTGTTGTCATACTCTAAGTACTGTGATGGAATTTATGAAAACTGGAGCAGACACAATTGGAAGCAGTTGCCCATGGCAACCTATCAGCTTCTATCTTCCATTTTCAAAGCCTAAGGCTGGGTTCACACCTAGGCGGATTGAATATGCACGTTTTTCGCACGTTTTTTTACCGTGATTCGCGGTTAAAAAAAACGCGCGTTTCCGAGGGATACTTGGCTGTATCCCAATGGAACCGCCCGACCAAAACGCCCCAAAGAAGTACATGTACTTCTTTGGGCGTAGGGCGGTTTCCCGCACGTTCATACTCGCGGAAAACCGCCCAGATGGGAACCATGCACATTGAAAATAATGGCATTTCCCTGTTTGAGCGTTTTTCCGCGAGTACGAAAGCTTAGGCTGGGTTCACACCTAGGCGTTTTTCCGCGCCTTCGTACTCGCGGAAAAACGCTCAAACAGGGAAATGCCATTATTTTCAATGTGCATGGTTCCCATCTGGGCGGTTTTCCGCGAGTATGAACGTGCGGGAAACCGCCCTACGCCCAAAGAAGTACATGTACTTCTTTGGGGCGTTTTGGTCGGGCGGTTCCATTGGGATACAGCCAAGTATCCCTCGGAAACGCGCATTTTTTTTACCGCGAAAAACGTGCATGTTCAATCCGCCTAGGTGTGAACCCAGCCTAACTGAACAAACTGGAGACAGAAGCTGATTGTTTGCCATGGGCAACTGCTCCAGATTCTGTCGGTTCCCGTTTTCATAAATTTCCCTTTGTATATATTCACACGTTTTCAATAAACTGCCTGAACTGAAGCTTTGGCAAGGATTTAGCTATTCAAGGGTTCCCCAAGGTAATTAAAAGAGAACTAAAAAAAAAAAGGCTTTACTTCTTTTTTGCACCACAGAGTACATTCACTAATATACTCCTGTGACCCAAAGTCGGTGCCTGCTATATGCTGACAGTGCAGAGTGCTGTCAATATTTTTGGGATTGCTCAGCTCTCGATCTATAGAGACGGTGTGTGACAATTGCAGTTTCACACGCTGGCGCGTATTGGGAAGAGTATATTTTACTTGCCCAGTACTTTAATTCTTCAGATATAATTTCCAGTTTGTAGAAAATTCTTGAGTCACGCTGTTAATCCTGGTTGGATCCAATGCTGCATATGACAGAGATCTACTACCTTTTTGTTCTTGGAGACCGAAAAAAGTCAATTTGTAATTAGTCTTACCTCCTCTTTTGAATACTGTGTAAATGTTAAAACTATCTATACTTGTTTCTTTGATTATATAGATGTGATTTACTGTACAATTAAAAGAAATGAAAGTGTTTTGCTGTGTTTGCTTTTAACACACACCACTTGCCACACCCCACTGCTACCTAATGTTTTGTCTTTGTTCAGATGTGAAAGGAAAGCTGTGTGAAGACTACTGTATACTGCAACATTCAAACAGGTAAGAGATGAGCTAAAAATTGCACAATTAAAAATAACAATAATTTAATTTGGAACTTCTACTACACATTATAGAATAACACATAAGCCTGTGTGCATGTGTGGTCTGCTGCAGGTGCATGGATTTACGAATGTACGTGTACTATTTTTATGCATTTTAATGAACCTTACTACACTAAGAATGTGATATTTCTGCTTTTAAGTCAGTGGCATGTTCCTTGCAAAGAAGTGAACTTATTATTGGCATGCTTTCCTCCCCCTACTGACTATTTCTGAAGTAGGCTATACTTAACTTAAACCCAGTCTATTGGATCCCATTACTGCCCCATCACTCTGCACAGCCTTTCTTGAAAATCTTCTCAGTCAGCCACCAACCAACCCGTGCGTGCGTGCACACGCGCCAATAAGATCATAGAGTTTCATTAAAAATCCCAGGTTCATCTGTTGTAGATCTTTTCATTATGGCATGCTGTGTGCACGCATAAAGGTAGTACTAGCCGACAGAGGAAGATCTATGGGAAAGGCTGTGTAGTCTTGGGCAGGCCATAAATCTAAGAGCTCTGGAGGGCTGTTATACAGTTTAAATATAACCCATTAGAGAAATGTTTAGTGCTGTGATAGAGGTACACAAAGGATAAGAGCACCTATCCTGTAATACCAGTAATGAGTACCTTTCTATATTATGTATTTTTCTCAAAAATATGATTTCTTTCTTGCTCATTGAAAGACACAAGTTTTAAAAGACTTTGGGTTATTCTACAGGAGGAGTTAGACACTGGCAAGCAAAAAGAAAATGAGTGACCACTAGGTATAACCCCCTCCACTCCTAGAATGCCTCTGTTTTTCCTAGTGTGTTAAGTGAATAAATATCTTTTCTAAGTTAAGAAAAATTTAACTTCTCTATCCATTTTCCCCCCCACTTTAGTCATCATTTTGCTACACGCTGCCAAAGCCGGTCTCTATACGCAGCTATCTAGATTCATGTATCCTCAGCAATGGCTGTGGAAGTTGTTCCCAGACTCCCCCTGGACTGGATGATTGCGGGGCTAGTCCGTGTCTTAGGGCACTGATTTTCGCACTGTGGTGATCGACAGATCTTTGTATACTGTATTAGCCGCAGAGTTCTTCCCTGGTCCAGACCTGTGGCACAGTCTCTGCTGGGACCCAGCTCCTTTTGTGAGTAGGCCATGTCAGCTGAGCTATGCACCTATTTTCTCCCGTTTTACGTGGAAAGGATTAACACTGGAGGACTGAGTGATGATGCAAGGGTTGCGCTCTTGTTCTTGCCAATTCAGCATTAGGTAACATCTCCTGCTACTGCTCCTAGTTTCAAGTGACATAGGAATCTTTCCCAGACTTTGAAGTCCACCTACAGTGACCTGGTCACTTCTGGCCATTTGAAACTTTCCTGCTTCCAGCAGCCAAATTGCTAGCAACCAAGGCCTAAAGTGATACGAAAGTCAAAAGGTTTTTAAGCAATTTCAAATGCTTATGAAATAAGTTTTCTGCTGATCTCCTAAGACCTGGCCCTGCACCGATGCCATTTTTTCCAGACCGAGTACTGATACTTTTCTTCAAGTACTCGCTGATACCAATTTAGTTATTTTTTTCTCATGTCCTGTAACAGTTTTTCTAAAACAATACCGACTAATGATTTTAGAACAGTGGTGAAGTGCCAGGGCCCGGTCCCACCTGCAAACTCTGCACCCCTAGTTCTGCCACTGACACAATGCAGAATACCACCAGCTATAGAGGACTACAATTCCAGGCAAAACATTATACAGCAATGCAGAATATTGCCATCATCGATAGAGGACTACATATCCCAGCAATATGTTATACAGCAATGCAGAATAATGCCATCAGCTGGAGAGCACTATAAATACATTATACAGCAATGCCGAATTGCTAACGGCTATAGAGGACTACAATTCCCGGTATGCATTATACATCAATGCAGAATAATATGAAGCTACATACTCTGTGCTGCTCCAGGCTGGCGGCCTGAAGTGCAGGGTGTGGAGGTGGACCAGAGGAGGGCTGGAGTAAGCTGCCGGAGTCTGCTGAATGCCGAGACCAAAGGAGGGGGTGCTGTGCCTATGCAGGGAGGCACAGGATCTTTAGGAGGCGTTTTGCCCTCCTCTCTGCTGCCGACTGGTGAGGCAAGGTGGGTAAAAACAACGTCTCATTACCCTGGATATGGGAGGTGGTTTGCAGGGTTTACCAACTAGAGTTCTGCTTCCTGCCCCCTCCCCCAGTTCATATGTTTCAACCTGCTTTTGGCTTTGCATAGTTTAGCAGCACTTCTGGATCAAGGGGTTATCACACTAGTTTCTACTGCAGAAAGGTTTCAGGGGTTGTACTCTAACCTTTGCAGAATCCCCAAACCAAAAGAGGGCAGCTGTCCTATTTTGGATCTTAATGTCCTAATTGTCTTGTCTTCATTTGGTTCCAAAAGATTTGCATGGAATCCACCAGGTCTCTCATTGCCACCCTCCATCAGGGAGAATTCTTTTGACGTTTGTGCACATCAAGGATGCATACTTGCATGTCTCTATTTGTCCATCACCTCAGCAATTCCTTTGCTTTGCTGAGGTTCCCTAGCACTTCCAGTCTGAGACCCAGGCAAATCTTCTGCACCTCGAGGCTTTACTAAGTTTCTATCACCTGTTCTAGCCTTGCTACATCTGGCACTCTTAAAAGGAAACACTCAACATGGCTTCTGTCTGACAGTGACACGGACAATACAAACCTTGATGAGGTTTCATTGGATCTTTAACCTTCCGAAGTCCGCTTTGGATCCATCTCATCACTTGGAGTTTATCTTAGAGACAGCTCAAGCCACAGCTTTTCGTTTATTTTCTTCTCCAACCCCTAACTCTTTGTTCCCAGGTTGTGACTCTTCAATTCCAGGAGTTGCCCGACTTGTCGCTTCTGCATGGGAGTTTTGTGGCTGGTGGTAGCCTTATTCAAGGCAGTCCAGTTTGCCCAGTTCCACTCCAGAACACTGTAACTCTACTCATCCTGTTATTTTACGAGAAGTTAATTCAAACTGCACAAACTGACTTTGCCTGACAACAAGGACCAGATTGTCTGTCTCTTTAATCTCCACTAGGACATTGTTCTTCCATCCCTCTGTCTAGCTCCAGTGCATCAGGAGATTTCCCTGCATTGTCTGTAGTATGTGCTGTATGTGCCTATCTTGCAGCAACTGCTTTCAGACAGACTATCCAAGCTTATGGTCCTTTATGATATGATTCCACCCTTTCTTGTTGGGCCACACTCTACCAGTTGTGTGAGAACTCCTTGGGAATTTGGGCTTCAGGCTACTATCTCACGGATATGCAAGGCCACCACCTGGTCTGCTGTTCATATGTTCTCAAAGTTTAACCAGGTGGATGTTGAAGCCCCATCTGATGCCAGCTTTGGGCTCCAGAGCTTTCAGGCAGCTCTTTGAACTGCAGGCAAACCCTAAGTTTTGTTATGTACTAATGGGTTGGTTTTTTTCGTTGCTTTTGTCCACCCCTGTTTTTGGGCATCCCAGTTGGCTCGAAATGTTGTGCCCCTCTTGAACCAGAAAGAAAATCAGATTTTTGTACTTGGCTTAAAAACCATTTCTTGGAGTTCATTGAGGTCCCACCTCTTCTACAAAACTGAAGCATGCTGGGAATGGGTGGGCTTATACTGACTGTTTACTGTGTTTTGTGTTTGCCAGTCTCCATATCTTCAAGTAGGAGGTGAGTATAACCCAATTGTCTCTGAATCCAGTGCCCCTCAATGAACTCCAACAAATGCATTTACAGTAAGTAAAAAATCCAATGACTTTTGTAGGTAAGCATATTGCATTTGATTTTGTTTTTGTAAAATGTTCTTTTATTTTTAGAATATGTGTTATTACACTGGCTGAATGTCATCCAGTTCTACAGAGTGGGAAAACAATTTCCAATATTAATTATCAAATCAGTGCCAACTGCAGCAGATTAAAGAATAAAGTGTCAGGGAAATCCAAACGGGTGAGTGTGTTCTGTCTTTCAATACAGCCATGCACTGTATATTTCTTTATTTTCAATGTGACGGCTATTTGAATTAAGTGCAGGGCAATCTCTTTATGACTCAGCTGTATTTGTGCAAATCCTCTGCAGTGTCTTAAGTTAGTAGGCAATTCTACATAAAGTTGGCCGCCACTATAGAACTACCAATGCTTTATACTAATATTCCACAATTACATAGACAGAATTAATAAAGTATTAAAATAGGGGATACACAGGCTCTGTCTCTATTTGTTAGAAAGGTGTGATGGATTAGACCAACACTCCTTTTTCTCGAAGTACTATACAAGGGTATCAAATGTAAAAACAAATATGATTTATAATGTCTATTTATAAAATCACAATTTTCTTGTTACATATAGGCTTATGCATATGCATCTTCCCAAAATGGGAAAAGAATCCAGCATCTTGAATCCCAACACTTTTTATTGAAACTATAAAAAGAGCTTCTAAATAAAGTGATATTCAGTAGAACCCAGTAGGTGGCAATCTCTTAAAATCTTTGAGATCGAATCAATTCTACAGCACCCCAGACCATATGTTAGATTTTGAGCATCAAAGATTTCTACATGTTCTTTGTGAATAGAGGCTTGGACTGCCATTCTTTCCTCCCCTTCCCCCCCCTGTATTTTGTCTGCAACATGTGGAATACAAGAGTAATTACTAGTTGTTTATGATACACATGTGTTCTGGGCCTGTGTGGCTTTATGCACTTTAAAGTGACATTAAACCCTCAGATTTTTTTTACATAAACCAATACTGTAATGTGCGCCTTACTGTAATCCATGGTAGTTTCCCTTCTCTTTGCTGCTCTTCCTTTTAAATCTGAATCTCTTCTCATGCTGGGGGAGAACTTCCCTTTGCAGCTGAGTGCCTCTTCCTGTAGTGCTGGCTCAGGTTGTGAACCTTCACACAGACACCATGTAGCCATTCCAGAGACAAGGCATTTCTGTAGAGCATGAGAAGAGATAAGGATTTAAAAGGAAGAGCAGCAAAGAGAAGGGAAACAACCATGCATTACAGTAAGGCACACATTACAGTATTGTTTTATGTAAAAAAATCTGAGGGTTTGCTGAGCTGTTGAGCATGGAGGACGTGTGTTAGCTCGGCTCCTCATCACCCGGGCACTTGAGCTCTACTTATTGCATATTTTGGCATAACTGCCCTTCCACCTTTTACCCTGCCTCTCCCTGGACCACTTACCATCTCCTATGGGGGGAAAAAAAGGATCCAAGCCTCGCAAATCGGAGAAGAATCAACGGGCCCCTGACTACCAGCACGTGTCACCGGGCGCGTGCACCATGGAGCCGTCTCCTCGGTACTCGGAACAGCTGTCTTCCCCTAAGACTCCATCTGACCTGCTGGAAACATCCTCACTGGAGAGTGCTCCCCCCTCGCCTGTCAGCAAAGCTCCGACCCGACATATCAGCGATGACCAGCTCCTATATCGCTTCAAAGCTATGCTGCAGGCAGAGCTGAAGACAGCAACGGACGAAATTAACTCACACTTATCTAAAGAGATCAAGGAGCTGGGCCAGCGCACGGGTCTTCTGGAAGACAAGGTCGACTCCACTATCGGAATCGTTAATTCTCACACGATTGATATAGGACATCTGCAATCCAACCTAGACGCCACTATATAGAAGCTGGAGGATCTGGAGAACAGTTCACGCCGGCGTAACCTCCGTATTCGCGGCATCCCAGAGGAAGTGGAGGACCTACAATCCACAGTAACTGCCATGTTCCAAGAGCTTCAGCCTGCTATTCCAATTGAGCGCCTTGAATTTGATAGAATTCATCGGCCCCAAGCGCCCCGGGGGTCCCCCCAGGGATGTGATCGTGAAATTCTCCTTTTACAGATCTAAGGAGGCTATCTTTCAGGCGGCTCGTGTCAGCCGAGATCTGCAGTTTCAAGGCTTTCGTTATGAAATCTACTCAGACCTCAGTCAGCTCACTATACAGAAACGACGAGCCATGCGTCCCTACTTACTATCACTCCGATCTCATAATATTCGTTATACCTGGGGCTATCCCTTCAAGCTGCAGTTCATCCATGCTGGGAAGTCTTACGGGGTTGCGTCTCCCGAAGAGGCACATCGGATGCTGCATTCCCTGGGTCTACATGAAGATTCGACGCCACCAACTCTCCCACCCTCAGGGACCCCTACGCAGCCTCTACAACCACTATAGAGCAAGGTCCCCTCCAAGCGCCCCGGCCACTTCACCGCTGGGGCGCCAGCGTGACAAGATCCCTGCTCCGACCTGAGAGTTCGCTTCCTCCAATGGACCGGTGAGTCCAGGATGAAACCATTTTGATTCTTTCTCGGCTCCTTCGCAGAAGATCCCTACCTCCCCCCACAGTGAGTACTGTTGTATGCCGCTACAGCAGCGGTACCCGTCACTCTCTACCGTACGACCATCTCCCCCTCCCTATCCCCGTTCCACTCCGACAATACCACTCTCATTGACTTTTCCATCTTGGATTTTCTACTCCCATCCATCCAGTCCCCCCCCCCCCCCCGTCACCTGCCCCCACTGTATGGACACACAACATCTTAGGGTCTCATGCCCTCAGCGTCAGAATTTGCATCCCCCTGTGCGTCCTCCCCAGCTCTCTCTACGCGGGCACTTTTCCGTAAATGGCGAGAAGCAATGACTCTACCTGGGCTTGAACGTATCCCAACTTGCTATGCCCCTTCTCTCTCCCTATTTGAACGCTGAATGCCCGGTTGATGGATCTGAGGGTTTTGCCCTGCTGGGATGTTATTGAACATATATCTGACTGAATCGGCACAACGACTGTTGTTATTTTTTAGTTTAATGTTGGGTGTTAGTCATGTGCCTTCCCATTGCAATCTGCGCGCCCTCTGCAACTGTACTCCTAACGTGCCCAGTTCTATGGTTGGCCTAAGGCGGTGCGGGGGCGGACGGGCAGGGGTGAATACATTTGTGTATTAAGCAGGGCTAAGAATTGTTCATAACATATGTTTGTCTTGTTCCCTTTCCCGCCTGTTCCTTGTCTCCCCTCCCCCCCTCTCCTACCTTGTGTTGCTCCTCCCGCCTTTTCCCGCCTGTCGCCTCTTCCTCGAACCCTCCTTTCCCCATGTCTCCCCTTTCCCCATGTCTCGATTCAAGACCCTATGAAGGGTTAAAGTGGAAGTCCTTCTGACCCAATTGAGGTGCAGGGGGGCACATGCCTGGTCTCTTGCCCTCCATGGCCAGGATATCCTTGAATGGGAAACTGTAAATAAAGCACATGGCGCTGAGGTTTAACAGGATGGTGAGTCCTCTGGTCTCCTCAGTAGGTTGACACAGTGGAACGCTATAGGTCGGCATTGCTAGTGTAAACCAGTCTGGCGCCTTTTACTCGGGGTGCTACTTGTTATGTGCTGTACTATTCGTTTTCTATTCTCTCCCGCTGCTCTTCTTGTGCTATGAGGGTACATGCTGGGGATCACGTGTTTGCCTGGGGGTTTGGAGTTCCTCCATACTGGGCAGCACTGTTCCATGTATCACCTACGTCACTTCTCCGAAACTGGCATTAGATGTTAGGACCACTCTGATCTGGGCTTGCTACACCGTGTATGGCTCCTTGGAAGTACAGGTGATGATGGAGAAATGGAAGCTGAACGCAGCATGGTTTTCTATATGTAATTACATGATTGTATTCATAGCAGCTTTAGATACACTAATTATCTTAGTAATTTTTACAGGAGCACAGATCTTTGTTATACTTATGCATATGTATACCTGATGTGCTATGCCTCCTTTTCCTCTGACACCCTCTCCCCCTCCCCATGGCAGACTGAATAATACACACTTCAGTGTCCCTAAAGGGAAGCATTCCCTGAGGCTTACAAGGAGTTCTGACGGTGCACGTGGGTTTGCAAGTGAA